GGGGGGCTGTCCCCTCCCGCCAGCAACCGAAACCCGCCCTTCGCCTCGCGTTGTGCGGCTGCTGTCCGAACGCGGGGGGGGAGGGGGAGAGGCGGCGGGCGCTTTCGCTTTCCATCCCCGTTTCCCGTTAATCGCCTGACACCGCGGTAAGTAATGTAAGTAATCCGGGGGAGGAGAACGGAGGGCTTCCTCCTTCCTCCTCCTTAAAACCCCTCTGGAAAACCTGCCCCTGCCGGGGGCACGTTTGCTTCTGGCCGAAGTTGAGCCCCGCGCCATCCCGCTGCCCTCCCTGGCTCTCGCACGCCGAGGGAAGGGCAGCGGCGGGCGGGGGGACGCCGGCCCCTCAGCCAGCCCCGCTCCTGCCAGCCGCCGGGCCGTTCGCGAAGCTGCAGGAGTGATAACGCTCCCCGTGCGACGTTCTTCAAGATAGCGCAAAACGCGGAAGAGTTTTTCAGGGATCTGTTTGTTGTTGCCCTTCACTTAAAAGCCAGGGTAAATGCTCTCTCTACCTCCTTCCTACCTCTGCACTAATACACGTTTCACTATCATCTCAGCCATGTTTCAACAAATGGGTTTTTCCTCTAGAAGTAGCCCTCTTTAGGACTTTATTTAATGGTAGAATTGTCTCAAAATTTTCGATCTATAAATACTAGCGGAATAAATGCATACTTTGTTCTCAGGCGTATGTGTTGGTGAAGCATTAAAAAAAGGACTTGAATATATTTGGGGAACGCGCACACACGCATATAAATGTTTTTAAAAAGCTCCCCCTCCAAAAAAAAAAAAGTCCCAAAGTTCAACAGAGGACAAAAGCCAAGGCAGAATCAAAATTATGCAAGAAACTGAATTTCTGTATTTTTAATGTCTCATGTGGTTTTATTACATTTATTTTGGTTTTGCTGCCACATTAATGCTGGCTTGGGTGGTTCCCCCCCCATGAGACGCTATTCTCTTAAATTCTTCCCCAGCCCTCCTTAAGTGATTAATGGATACCAATGCCTTGACTACTGCGTTTGTTTTCTCCAGATACTCTAAAGCACTCAGACACCCTCCGGCATTCAAGTTTA